AATTTCTAACTAAAGAATTGCTGAGAGTGGAAAACTTTCCTCTGTAATGGGATTTTGATATGTAAAGCAAGAAAATATCTTTGGTAGAGAAATCATTAGAGCCTAATTCTCCCTTTTCAACTTTATGTATTATACATAACATAGTATGTGCAAGCTATAAATATCTGAATGCCTTCCCAGGCATCCAAGAGTCTCTCTCATGACCCTGTTAATCTGTCTCTCAAATCTGAGAGATCATCATTTGTGCTAGACAGTCAGTTTCAGGAGTCTGTCTTTGGAGCCAAAGAGAATTTTAAACCTAAAAGATTCTTCTTTGCATCTGAAGATTTGTTTCTGGAATTTAAATGAATGCCCCGAGCCTGAGATGGCCATGTGACCATCAATGCGGATATGACTGAAGGGGATCTTCATAATTCTAGCATATTTTTCATTAATGCCAGGCTCCACATAATATATAACTAATGCCTATGTAATCTTTCTCATTATTAAAAAAATATTTGGTGGTGTTTCTGGAAAAATTAGAAGTGTAAGAAGTGGAAGCTCAATAACTGCCTACCCTGTAAAGAACACAAATGAATTAATTATCTGAAACACACAAGTTTACAGATATATGGGCCTTTCATCTTCTCTATGTTCTGAACATTTCTACTAATACTAATACTGTCTACAACCTGGTCATTGTTGTTCAAAAAAGGAAACATATATAGTTCTCATTACGTTTTCCTTATATATAAATATCAAAGACAAAGAATAATTTCACCTTATTCAAATATCAAAAAGCATTAATTAATTGTGTTAAACATTAGTGTGATTTATAAAGGAACCAAAATTAAATCATAATAAAATTTGCAACTGAAGAACACACAAAAAAAGTTCAAAGTTACATATGTTACAGATAACCTTTGTATTTCCTTTTATAACTAGCTGAAGCTTTCAAATAAATAACTAAAATTAGAAGGAAAAAAATCTTTGAAATGCATTATAAACAGCTGTCAGGCCATATATTGAACTGAATCTACTTTGAGCAAATGCTCATCTGTAGCAGATAAAACAATATCAACAGTTTTTACAACTAAAAGAGGGATACAGCCTGATAAAATAAAAAGAAAAGAAAATGTGGTATTGAATGAAAATATAACCTACATATATCATCCCAATATAACAATACATGCACATTAATTACTAATGAAAAAAAGTGTAAATCATAAGCTTTTAGTAAATACATTTTTTTTTAATAACTATATAAAAATGCCAAGATACATTTATCATATATATTTGAGAGAAATCTAGTAATATACAGACTCCTGTCATTACAATAAATACACATAGAGGTAATACCCAAAGTATTACTTAGTAGTGCTTGGCCAAAAATAATACCTAGACAATGATAAAACAAAAAAACGGACTATAAATGGACAATGAAAAATATCAAACAAATATCAAACTACATTAAAGAAAAAAAAAAGAAATCTAACATTAAGAAACAAAAATGTCTATGATACTTTTGCAAATACAAATAATGAATGCTTACTTGTATCAAAACGTTAAAACAAAAACTGGAAACTGGAAAAGGCTCACTGACAAGATGGTTTGAACTTACACAAGGGTATCTTGTGACAAAATGTAATTCTAGATCTTAATTTATATATCTAGCAGATTAATGATATATATATATCTTCAATGTAACTATCTTACATATTTAACAAGAATGTTGATATTAGATAATGAAATGAACAGTACCAGGATCTTACCATTAATTAATGAAAACATAATGCATAGTCTAATCATCTAACACCTCTGATTCAAAACTATTTATCAATCCTCTCAAAGCAAACCCCAGAGATTTGTTGTTAAATATGCTGCTGTTTCCAACATCTCTCTGCTCTTGGTATTAATCCTTGGTCTCCAGGTCTCTTTTGGGAGATTCTGCTGTTAAATAAATGAAAATATCAATATTTAGATTCATTATTTTGGGTTATCTTATTGATGATCATAAGATGGTAGTTTTAAGTAATATTCTCTTGTGCATCATTCCTTTAATAACAATTAAATAGACTAACATATATATAAATATATCTCTCTTGTAAAAAATGAAGGGATTTTAAACAATTAAAGAGAAAAAAAAATAGTGAAAATACTTTTTCTTTTAATTAAAATGGAAGTTGCTATTATTCATTAACACTATAGTAAAGCCTCTGACACCATAACATTAAAAACTAATAGATTGATGAGAGTGACAATGAGAAGTATGCATACTGAATGGACAAGGGTGACTACTGTTTAATCTTATTCCTAAATTCTGCAAATGGCACACCTGAATCTTGCAGTGAAATACCAAAGAAAGTAATCACAGAGGTTTTGCAGACTACTTGAGAAGTAAGAAATAGCTGTCATTCAATTTTGGTAATGAGATTATTATATATGGATGAGTGGTGGCCTGGATGTACTTCATGAGGAAAAGGACTTGGAAGTAAGGGTTACTGAAGACCTAAGATGCAGC